AATACTCCAGAAATGACTGTGTGTTGTTCACCCACTGTGTCATCTCGTATACAGATTTCTTGCGATAGAGGTCGGAGTGTAAATATGGCAATTAAGTAGTATTTAGAACCTTTGTTCAGTGCCTACCATTTCTTCCGTGGCTATCTAGTTACTTCAAGACCGTGAGTATTGGTCCGCTCCAGAAGATTGAATCTCCGAAACCCCTCCCTGCAGAAAAGTGCTAACAATAGTAGCCTGCAATGGTCTTAGTTTAACACGCGACGGTTTTTGTGAATGCTTAGCGTACGATTACTACCTAGATGTGGACTTACAAATAAAACCAGTACTTCTATTAGTTATAAAATGGTAAATATGGAGTTCTGTTTCGGCAAAGAACAGGATCTTTGCACGGACTTAACAATGAAAACAGGTTAATGGTTAATAAAGCATTAATTTCTAAATTATTTAAAACGTCCGAAGCCCAACCCTATTACTTTATTTCGAACAATAAAACTGAAATAAATGTTTTTTCATACCTTTCTGCTCAGTAACAGCCATCCTGAGGCTGGAAAGGGGTGGGTAGTGGGTGGATAGTACTCCTTATTATTCATTCAAAATATTCGTCCGTTTCTGATTGGCTAAAACTGATCCCAAGAATAGTTCGAATTTTTGACAAAAACAATGGACTTGCCCCTTAGGAAAGTTTCATTGTTTGGGCTTTTTTAAAACTTCACTTTTCTTGTCTTAAAAATGTTGTTGTATATCCAGACTATCCAAAAACGATCTTTTGTGGCTTGATTTGCCCAAAACACACAGATGATTAAAAGTTCGAATTTTTGCCAAAAAGGGTGGACCTACCCCTTGGAAAAATTTCGATTTTTCGGACTTTTATTAAAAATTCACTTTTCAGATCTAAAACGTGTGCTTTCTATCCAGACTATCCAAAAACGACCTTTTCTGGCTTGATTTGCCCCCCCCAAAAATTGATAAAAAGTTCAAATTTTTGACAAAACGCTGGGACTAATCCCTTGGGAAAACTTCCATTATTTGTACTTTTACTAAAACTTCACTTTTCTGGTCTAAAAATCCTTCTTTTCTATCCAAAAAATCCAAAAACGATCTTTTCTGGCTTGATTTGCCCAAAAGACACAGTTGATATATAAACAGTTTGTATTTTTGACAAAAACCTGCGATGGCGTCTTAGTTTGACCCAGTTGCCAAGTCATAATGATAAGAAAAAAAAATAAAGCTCTTCTGCCGTCATTGACGCAACTAATTCACAAGTTTAAATAAAGCCAAAAAAAGAGAGAAAAAAGAAAGAAAGTAAAAAGTAAATCACCTGAGAATGAGCCAGTGCTACCTATTTGCAACCGTTTGTTTTCATTTACATCCGAATCCGGAATCCATGTATTTCAGTCTATTTTGTCAAAACAACCCCGCTTAAATTTCATCCGATTTATTTCTGTGTTGTTGTTGTTTTTTTTTTTTGTAGATCTCAGGGACAAAGTCGTAGAAAAGTAGAAAGTCTATGTTTTTTTTTAAGCAGCAGACACGTGCATCCACCGGGGATTTACATTTCAGCAAAGAGCAAGGTGGCCGCGCATTGTGGACGATGTGGGGGTTATGCCTAAAAGGACAGCCGAGGAATACTAGGAACGAGTTTCCGAGTCGGGCCGTCATCGGAAATTCTCGAAAACATCCAATATGGCGGCTCAAGTGTGGTGAAAACTGACAGCCAAAGGAGCCGTTTTATCGCCAGAGAAGCGTGATTTAGAAACCTACAGAAATCAAGTTCTACAACACAGTTTAGCAATGAAAGCTAGAGGTGATGTACATGCCAACAAATGTTGCTATAATTTAGAAAGTCCCGTTGGACGGTACTTTTTTCTTCGTTAATACCGGCCAGCGGGACAAGACAAATTGATAAGACATTTATTAAAGGATTGGTTACTATACAGGACCAAGAACTCTGCAAAAGTCACAATAAACGCAAACTTCGTCAACAATACCGTAAATCACGCTTCTCTGGCGATAAAACAGCTCCTTTGGAAAAGTACTTACAGTTGAAACATACAGTCATACAGTCAATAAAGAATAAATTTCGATTTGCTTGAACAGGGGCCGCGAGGAATCGGTAGGTCTATTGTTTGCGCCCGCAGGTACGAAATGGTTAGGATGACGTAAAGACAGAACATCCCCAAGGGACCGCTTAGGTAGATTTTGTGACATTTATTGTGCATTCATACTTCGACACTCGTTTGCGTTACGTGTTATTAGTGACATTCTGTGGAGCAGTTGTTTCAGTGAAAGTTATGGACCAAAATTTTAACGACACTCGTTAGGCGCAGAAGAAGTTATAAGGTGCGTATAACTGTGTATATATAAACACCTGGAGAGTTTGCCAGACAGGAGTTCAGAAATCTTTCATTGGAAACCTTGCCAGACACTCTTTCTCTCTCTTTGACCGGAATAAGGCTCAGCCCCAAACAAGCAAGACGAGTGAACAACGGCTAGCTTCTCACTAGCAGAACGATGGACGCTTAAAGAAATTCGCCGACCATCAAATTCTGTGCTGACTTATTCCCTGCTCACAGATGGCCTTCCGCTATAAAGTTTAAAATAAGACTAGAATGCGCGAGTGTGAATTGATCAAACGTCCTTTTAATTTCTAAGGCTTCCTTTCCAGCAAATAAAATGAACTGAATGTAAAAAGTGAAAGAGAAATAGCAAAAAATTCAGCTTCTAATTAAATCTCATCTTAAGGTTTTGAATAAACTATTCTCGAAACTGAGAATGTTTTGATCAAAGCTGTGTAAATCGACCTGAAACTGTGCATGGAACCTTGCGTTTACTGTATTTATCTCACCTATTGTATAGAATATGTGTGAAAATCTTCCTTATGAATCGGTATATTTCAAAGAGCTACACAACGAGCAAGAATACTATTGACCGACAATATACAGAGCAGGGGCAGCTGTAGTGTCAACTATTACTAGTTTATATGCAACCCGCTGGTTTTGCGCTGACAGAAGTTGAAGGGATTAACAATGGAAAATAATAACATCTCCAACTATGTCAATATATTAGCGTGTGTGCTATTCAAAAGCTTTTAAAGATCCATTTAATTGCTCATTATTCAAATGCTACAAGTTTATGAAAGGGCGTACCGGCTCTACATTGTCACGTACCAAATAAATCAAATGCTTCAGAGTTGAGATAAGCTGTTATCGACTAGTACCTCGAATGAATTCGAGGGTGTATATATAAATGCAAAATTTGCAAGAAATTTGCTCTACAGTTATAAGAAAAATTCAGCCATAAAGTCACTTTGTATATTCTACAAACCGAGAATTTAGCCATTAGTTAACGGGTCGTACAGAAGAAGTCTAAACCAACGCGTGTCGCTATGATATGGCTGAGAGTTAAGGTGAATAGAACTAGGCTGTGTACGGCGGCCCACTTCGCAAGAAATGAAATAAAATATCAGAAGAGCCGAGAAAGCGGACTTTTCCAGTACATACTTTATGCATGCCCATAGCTTCAGTAGCTTGTTTGTCATTTTATACCGCTCTATAAACAGAAGTTTTACAAATGTTACTCGCTGTCCCCTTCATAGAAATCGGAGGAAAGCAAAAACGTACCATGGCCAGTATCTGGGACAGAAAGGAAATCTTGTAAAACTTTTCGTTAATCGTCAAGAGATATAAAAGGCCGCCCAAGATCGCGCGCTGTGAGGTTACCCATAATTTTAGCTTTTCACATAGCGCTTTTTTATTACACCTAGGATTTTAGGGTGCACGAGGGGACGCCTGACCAGCCGATGCCAGGGCCTTTTCCCGCCCCACCCATTTTTTTTTCAGGGAAAAGCCCTGGCGACGAGGTTGCCGCTTCATAAGCAATTAACTTTTTTTTTTCAAGATTATTAACGTAAGTCATTTTGAAATTATAAGACATTAGAATAAATCAAAAATATCTCTCCAACAGGAATAATCATCTAGTTTCTAACACGACCTGCGACATAGCTAGTGGTTTTTTTTCTATTATTGGCCGATTCGCTTTATTAATAGAAGCTATAAAAAATCTGGAGTTTTGTAGTTGTATGAGTTCTTTCCACCAATTATGACAGGATATTTGACGTTGACAGCGGTTATAAGGCCAAGGTTCAGACACGAAATAGCCGCTGATCACTCCTTATTGCTTGAAATTCAGAATTAAATTTTTGTGGTTATTTTATTTTATTTTATTTTATTTTTTTGAGATTTCAAGTGTCACTTCTTTGACAGAGCTTTCCTTGGTTTACTAATTCCACTCAGTAAAATCTCGTGCGCCATTTAAATATCCAGGTATTAGTTGTTGTGTCTACAAGTCTAATTCTTTCTTCTTTCAGTCAAAAATGGCTTCAAGCATTGGGTCTCTATTATTCGTCACATGGGTAACTCTTCTCCTTTCACGTTCTATGAGAGCAAAGGGCAATCAACATGCAACACAGCTACTGTACATGTACAACATATTCACGGATAACGTCGCCATATTAGGCCATACTATTCGTTCTATGAATGTATCAAGTCAAGTTGATTGCTTCCGCCATTGTGCAAAGGTTTGTGGTTGTGTAGCATTTCAGTTGACTGGGTGGAAATGTGAATTATTGGATGCAGGTAAAGATGTCGTGGTTGGGGACCTGATAACTAGACCAGGCACTGCTTTGTACACTATGAATCAGGATAGTATACAGGTAAGATTGTGTCATTGATAGGAAAACAAGTAGAGCTACTAGGGAGTAATGAACTACAAATGAATAATAAAATAATAAAAATAAATGAATGTTTTTATTGAATACACAAGTAAAAATATATACCTTTATTATATAGACAAGAGTGTTTTACTGGAATATATACCACTCGTAAAATTCATAAAAACTACATCCGGGACCCGAGTGGTTTATTTTCCATAATCTCACACGTGAGTTTATCGATGACGTAATTTCAGTAATTTCCCTCTATTATTTTATCGATGTCATTTTGTCTATATAATAAAAAGAACATTACACGCCGGCTTGAAGATATGAATTTAATTTTCTCGTGGCAAAAACAATATTTTACTCACTCGCTGCGCTCGTTCGTAAAATATTGTTTTGCCACTCGAAAATAAAATTCATATCTTCGTGCCACCGTGTAATATCCTCTATATATTTACATGTTTAATATCATTAGTTAAAAAGTGCCCTGATTTAATTTGTAGCTTTGAGTTTGGTGACATGCAAAGATATTCTGTGTTTTGTGATTATAAACCAAATCCGATTTTATGACAACAGCACGGCTTTATTGTGCTCCGTCGCTAAAGGAAGCAAAATTTGATGTAACAAACGCTGATCAAAAGAGAAATTCTCCCTAAATTCTTTCTGCTGCAAACTCAAAGTTGTTAGCAAGACCAGTCATTGTTTTGTAGAAGTTTAATATTCACAACGAATCAGCCAGGTTATGTTTCTTGATGATTTTGTGGCCAAGGGAGGATCGGAATCGCTCACTAAATTTGAGTGCAAAACGTTACGTGTAAGAAGACAAATTTGCGTCCACAACTAAAACTTAATTCATACATGCAAAAAGGTATCCTGTATGACTACACTTTAATTACTATTATTTTAATTATATTGCCAGGTGAACCAAAGCTGTGTTAACGGATGCTGCAGATCAAAGCCCTGTCTTAACGGCGGAACCTGTGAGGAGAAATGCAGTGACGTCAGAGAGCCTTACACTTGCACATGCTCAAAATATTACAAGGGAAAACGATGCGAGCAGTTTTATCCAGAAGTCAGGTCTTGCCAAGGTCTCAAGATATTTAGGCCGGGATCGCATTCCGGTGTTTACGAACTTGTTATAAGTGATAATAAAACCGTGCAGAGTTATTGTGACTTTACCTCTGAGGCTGGTAAAGCTTGGACGCTCATAGAATCCTTTTCGCTTTCAAACAAAGACATATATAAGAACAAACCATTTTATCACGATTTTCCTCGAAACGAGAACAACTTCACATGGGACGACTTTAGGCTTTCATACCAAGCCTTGGTTAATATCCGGAACAACTCAACGCACTGGCGCGTGACCTGTACCTTCCCATCAGGCCTCAGTTATACCGACTACGCACGCTCTTCGCTCAATGAAACAGATCTCCTAACGTTTGTTAATCAGGACAAATGCAAGAGGTATGAATATGTTTCAGTGCGAGGAATAAACTGTACTGATTGTAAAGGAATGTTGGTTCAAAGAGACAGTCAACACATGCATACAGATTCTTACTGGAGCGGAAGAAATGGCTGTCAGTGGAACCCCGGGGCGGGAGCAATATTAGGAGAAGATAATTTCGGTTTTTATGCTGTTACAAATCCAAAACATAGGTGCACGGTAAACTCATCGTCTACTACACAGTGGTGGCTTGGGTCACAATTATAAAACAGTGTGACAGTGTGTATTTATATAAATTGCCCAATGCTAACCTTTTAGCTAAACACCATTTGTCGTGAACACTTTCATTAAAGCATATAGCAGTGATGGATCCAGGGGAGGCCCGCCCCCCCCCCTCCCCCAATTTTTGGCCCCAGCTGAGATGTGAAGGTCCAAAGATTTCTTAAATCCCGTTAGACTTCGTTTTAACAACCGGCCCTAAGACTCTAAATGCCTTTTAAGTACCCTGTAAATAAGTAAGGGATGCACTAATGGACTCTCAAAATCATATAGGCTTAAACAACTTTTAGCCTTGCATGAAAATGTAACAGACTACCAACCCTCCAGAAATGACTGTGTGTTGTTCACCCACTGTGTCGTCTCGTACACAGATTTAATTTCTTGCGATAGAGGCCGGAGTGTAAATATTGCAATCAATATATATAAGTAGTTTTGAGAACCTTTGTTCAGTGCCTTCCGTTCTTCCGTGGCTATCTAGTTACTTCAAGACCGTGAGTATTTGTCCGCTCCAGAAGATTGAATCTCCGAAACCCCTCCCTGCAGAAAAATTCTAGCAATAGCAGCCTGCAATGGTCTTAGTTTAACACGCGACGATTTTTGTGAATGCTTAGTGTTCGATTACTACCTAGATGTGGACTTACAAGGACAAATAAAACCAGTATTTTTATTAGTTATAAAAATGGTAAATATCGAGTTCAGTTTCGGCAAAGAATAGGATCTTTGCATGGGCTAAGCAATGAAAACAGTTTAATGGTTAATAAAGCATTAATTTTTAAATTATTTAAAACGTCCGAAGCCCAAGCCTATTAGCTTATTTCGAATAAAAAAACTGAAATAAATGTTGTTTCATACCTTTCTGCTCAGTAACAGCCAACCTGAGGATGGAAAGGGGTGGGTAGTGGGTGGATACAGAGTACTCCTTATTATTCATTCAAAATATTCGTCCGTTTCTGATTGGCTAAAACTGATCCCAAGAATATTTCATCATAACCATCGACCAAATTTTGAGGAATTTTCAATAATGAGAACTGATGACGATGTCGCCAGATTATCAAACGGGTAACCGAGAAGATCTGGAGACGAGGTTGAGTTGTTTTGGTAGTGAATACAAATAAAGTGGCGGAGCATTTCACTCGTTTTACAGGTTAGATAGATAGAAACTTTTATTTTCTATAGGGTAACTCCTTCAGTTTTTGCACAGTATAAAAAAAATCTTTTCCACAGACGCCCTACGTGATAAACCGAAATGGAATAGAAATAATAGTAATAGTCAAATAAAAATAGAAAAAGCCATATAAAAGACTTGAAAATCAAATTACTAGAGAATTCATAAAAATCTCAATCTGAATGAGTTACACAACAATGATAAAAAATCCTTTTTTTTCATACATTTTAACTTTATAGACAGGAGTCTAAGTTAAGCACTGTTCTTTGTTCTTCTGGGCAATACTTCCCCTGTTATAATTAAAATAGTGCATAAAAACTGTGGACAATGGTTCCTTAAGCATTTCTTAACTGGTTTGCGTACATGGCTCTCACGTCTTTTTTCCAGAGTCACGTAACCCAAGAAAGTTAGCTCTTTTTCGCTGCTCCCCAGACACATAACGTGCTCCGCCCCTCTGCAATTTCTCCAATTTTTCAGCGTTAACACTCCCGCAGTAGCTCCACTCAGCGTCGCAGTAATCAAGAGTAGGGAGAACAAAAGACGTGTAAACGGTACCTGTCATGTACATGTTTATGTTTTTCATTATATTGGGCCTAACAATGCTACTCTCTGCCTAACATTACCGACTAAGTAATCAACGTGCGCATTCCACGTCAGCGACGGATCGAGAACAACCCCAAGATATTTATTCTCAGAAGCGCGCGCGATTAAGTACTTTCCATCAATAGTTACAGAAAAAGAAGTAGAAAGTGCTAGCTTGGGACCAGTGCCAAATATTATACAGTCCGTTTTGCCCTTATGCATAAGCAAGTTATCTGGCAAAAAGAAAGGACTAACACCTTGGGAAAATTTCGATTCTTTTGATTTTTTAAAACTTCACTTTTCTGATCTAAAAAATTTCTTTTCTATCCCAAAATATCCAAAAACAATCTTTACCGGCTTATTCGACCAGAACACAGGGTTTAAACTAGGTTTAATTTTTTGACAAAAACAATGGACTAATCTCTTCGGAAAATTTAGATTCTTGGATTTTAAAACTTCACTATCAGTTCTGGTCTAAAAAGCATTGTTTTTAATCCAGACTATCTAAAAACGATCTTTTCAGGCTTCATTTGCCCCAAAACACAGTTAAAAAAAATTCGATTTTTTGATAAAAAGATGGAATTTTTGATAAAGACAATGCACTAATTAACCCCTTTGGAAAGTTTTATTTTTTGGGCTTTTTTAAAACTTCAATTTTCTGGCCTTAAAAACATTGTTATATATCCAGACTATCCAAAAACAATCTTTTCTGGCTTGATTTGCCCAGAAAGTTCGAATTCTTGACAAAAACAATGGACTAACCCCTTTGGAAGTTTCATTTTTGGGGCCTTTTTAAAACTTCACAAGTTTTTCTGGTCTTAAAAAACGTCGTTATATATCCAGACTTTCCAAAAACGATCTGTTCTGGCTTGAATTGCCCAAAACACACAGTTGATAAAAAGTTCGAACTTTTGACTAAAACCATGGACTAACCCCTTGGGAAAATTTCAATTATTTGGACTTTTTTTAAGACTTAATTGAAGTTCGTGAAGGGGTAAAATGAGAACTGGGATTAGCCTTATTGTGGACTGGGAAAATGGGATTTACTCACTGGGACTGGGATTTAGCCACTGGGAATGGGATGAACAATTATATGGGATTTCTTTTCTTCAGCGATCTTTGCTCCAATATTTTGAAATAGAAAAATAAAATTTCGAAGCAATAGACCTTGCACTCCTCAGTAGAGACCGTGAAATCAGTATTTTTCGCCTTCGCGCCCGCGGTCTAGCTACCAGGCTTACACGGTTGCATAGTTACGTTCTGTCAGTTTTCCTGGTCAGCGGACAAGTTTTTGCAAATAATCATTAGTAATGGGATTTTAGATTTGGTAACTGGGATTTTGGCAAAAATTAGCCTGGGAACTGGGATTTGGGCCAAATTTAGGCTGGGCACTGGGATTTGCATTGGTACCCCCCTTCACGACCCTCTTAATTTTCTGGTCTAACAAGCATTGTATTTTATTCAGTATATCTTAAAACGATCTTTTCTGGCTTGATTTGCCCATGCAAAACACTCAGATGATTAAAAGTTCGAATTTTTGACAAAAAGGGTGACCTACCCCTTGGAAATATTTCGATTTTTTGGACTTTTTTAAAGATTCACTTTTCAGGTCTAAAACGTGTGCTTTCTATCCAGACTATCCAAAAACGACCTTTTCTGGCTTGATTTGCCCCCTACAAAATTTGATAAAAAGTTCAAATTTTTTACAAAAAACATGCACTAACCCCTTGGGAAAACTTCGATTATTTGTACTTTTATTAAAACTTCACTTTTCTGGTCTAAAAATCGTTCTTTTTCTATCCAAAAAATCCCAAAACGATCTTTTCTGGCTTGAATTGCCGAAAACACACGGTTGATATTATATATAAAACAGTTCGTAGTTTTGACAAAAATCTGCGATGGCGTCTTTTAGTTTGACTCAGTTGCCAAGTCATAATGATAAGAAAAAAAATAAAGCTCTTCTGCCGTCATTAACGCAACTAATTCACAATTTTAAATAAAGCTAAAAAAAAGGAAAAAAAGATTGAAAGAAAAAATGAAAACACCTGAGAATGAGCTGGCGTTACCTATTTCCAACCGTTTGTTTGCATTTACATCCCAATCCGGAATCCATGTGTTTCAGTCTATTTTGTCAAAACAACCCCGCTTAAATTGTATCCCATTTATTTCTGTGTTTGTTTGTTTGTTTTTGTTTTTGTTTTGTTTTTTTTTTTGTAGATCTCAGCGACGAAGTCGTGGAAAAGTAGAAAGTCTATGTTTTTTTTAAAGCAGGAGACACATGCATCCATCGGGGAGCTACAATTCAGCAAAGAGCAAGGAGGCCGCCAAGAGCCATAATAGGATGGCTCTTGAGGCCGCGCATTGTGGACGATTTGGGACCCTGGGAGCTAAAAATCACAAAATCAAAGATGGCGCGTGGAAGGCAATGCAGAAGGCATGGTTGGTTTTTCTCTCGTTTTTCATCTATTTTGCAAGGTTAGTAGCGATTATAGGCGGATAAAGTGCTAACAACTGTAGAAGGTATCGTTTCAAGAAGTTTTAGAAATGCTTGTGGTAATGATTTACCTAAAATTTGGTGAGATCGTGACTCTCACCAGCCTGCTGTAACCTCCCCCTCTTAAAGCCTAAACGCTTTGATTTTAAGGGAAAATAGTTGCGTACCTAATCGTGTTTATAGGCTTTATTTACAAATTGGATTTATAAAATTCTTATACATGTAATTAAAAGTGTCATGGAGCAAATATTTTATTCGTGTTCTTGGTAGCCAGGCCTCTGACTGGGTGAATTATTGGTATTTTTGGGGGAAGCGATAGATGAAAAGAACAACAACAGGAATTTTTCTGATTTTTCTGTTCTTTAAAACGTTTTGTGATTTTTTCAACTGGGCCAATTTGTCAGAGATACTGGTAGGTGAAATTTCCTGCCATGGTTAAATGCATCAGTCATTTTCACCTGCGCTCAGCGAACTTTTTTGCCTTTGTTTCCATCATGAAATTAATATTTTTGCAGAGCTCCTATGTTGCCCAGTGTTCGGACAGCCGGCCCAGTATCCGGACACAACAATAACAATGTAATTGTACATATTTTGAACAGGCAAGCGACTTGTAAGCTTCTCTTGCACTTGCAAAGTAGTCTGGCAATCAATTCCAAAAATATAACCTAGCATCGTGAAATAAAATAATAACAAATGACTGGGGTATGGTGGGGAATGTTAGCGGTTGTTAAATGGTATAATTCTCAT